CCAGTTTTGCAATCCCATGTGCTCACAATATTTCAAACTTTTTTATTATTATTAAAAATGTTATAGTGATCTTTGATATGAGGATAGTAATTTTACCACAAACCACACCCAGATAAGACAGTGACTTCATAGATAAACAAGGTGTGTGTTCTGTCTGTCTCAACTGCCTGCTGTTTCTCTCTCTCTGTCTCTGTCTTTCTCTCTCTCTCGCTCCCTCTTTTCAGGCTTCTCTATTTCCTGAGACCAACAATATTGAAAATAGGCTAGGAATCCTACAATGGCCTCTAAGTATTCAAGCAAGAGTTGCACATCTCTTTCCCTAAAGCAAAAGCTAGAAATGATTAAGCTTAGTGAAAAAGCCATGTTGAAAGCCAAGATAGGTCAGAAGTTAAGCCTCTTGTGCCGAATATCTTAGCCAAGCTGTGAATGTAAAAGAATAGTTCTTAAAGGAAATTAAAAGTGCTACTCTGGAGAACACACAAATGATAACAAAGCAAAACAGAGTTTTGCAGATATGGAGAAAGTTTTAGTAGTACGGATAGAAGATCAAATCAGCCACAAGATTCCGTGGCACCAGAGTCTACTACAGAGGAAGGCTCTAACTCTTGTCAATTCTATGAAGGCTGAGGGAGGTAAAGAAGCAGCAAAAGAGAGTTGGAAGCTAGCAGAAATCGGTTCAGGAGGTTTAAAGAAAAAGCTCTCTATGACATCAAAGTACAAGCTGAAGCAGCCAGTGCTGATGTAGAAGCTACCAGAAATTATTCAGAATATCTCGCTGAGATCATTGGTGAAGGTGCATACACTAAACAACAAATTTCCGATGTTAATGAAACAGCATTATTTTGAAAGAAGACACTGTCTAGGATTTTCATAGCTACAGAGAAGATAATGCATGGCTTGAAATCTCCCAGGGACAGGATGATGGTTTTGTTAGGGGGTAATGCAGCCGGTGATTGTAAATGAAGCCAAAGTCCATTTGCTATCCAAAAATTTAAGGATCCACAAGAATTATGCTGTTTCTACTCTGCCTGTGCTCTCTAAATGAAACCACAAAACCTGTATGTTGGCACATCTGTTTACAACGTGGTTTACTGGATGATTTTAAGCCCATAGTTGATGCCTTTTCCTCAGAAAGAATTTCCTTTCAATATATTACTGCTCATCAACAATGCACCAGGTCACCCAAGAGCTATGATAGAGATATACCAAGTATAAGGAGACTAATACTGTTTTCACACCTGCTAATGCAACATCCATTCCCTAGCCCATGGATCAAGGAGCAATTTCAACTTTCTAATCTTATTCTTTAAGATATGCGAATACCATAGATGGTGATTCCTCTGGGCAGAGTAAATTAAAAATCTCTTGGAAAGGATTCGCCATTCTGGATGCTGTTAATAACATTCTTGATCTATGGAAGGTCAAAATATCAATATTAATAGGAGTTTGGAAGAAGTTGTTTCCAACCCTCATGGATGAATTTGAAGGGGTCAAGATTTCAGTGGAGAAAGAACCAACTGTAAAGGTGGGAGAAATAGCAGGAGAGCTAGAATTAGAAGTAGAGCCTGAAGATGTGACTGAATTGCTGGCATGGCATGAGAAAACTTTAATAGAGAGAGGAGTTGTTTCTTATGAAGGAGCAAAGAAAGTGGTTTCTTGAGACAGAATCTACTCCTGGTGAAGATCTGTGAACATTATTAAAGTAACAACAAAGGGTTTAGAATATTTCATGAACTTAGTTCACAAAGCAGCAGCAGAATTTGAGAGGACTGATTCCAATTTTGAAGGTTCTACTGTGGTTAAAATGCTATCCTGTAGCAATGCACGCTACAGAAAAATATTTCATGAAAGGAAGTTTCAATTTATGCAACAAACTTTATAGTCTGATTTTAAGAAACTGCCACAGCCACTACAACCTTCAGGATCATCACCTTGATCAGTCCACAACCATTAACACTGAGGCAAGACTTCCTACTAGCAAAAAGATTGTGACTTGTTGAAGACTCAGATGATTGTTAGCAATTTTTAGCAATGAAATGTGTTCTTAATTAAGGGATGTACA